ATGTTCCCGAATTGACGGATGTTAACACAGGTTGGCATTGGACGAAAAAAAAAGAACAAATTTGGCAAGTATGCAATCACTATAAAATAAGAAAAATAAGAATAAAAAAAAGCAAAGCGTCACTGTAAACCTACTGAGTGGTAAAAGGAGTGGCCAATGTAAACCTATTGAGATAAACACTATTTGCTTATAATAATTATTTCAATACCACAGAAAAATAACTTTTTTGAAAATCTTAAAAGTTGGCAGGTATGCAAACATTGTAAAGTTCTAAGAAAGTAATAAATATAAAAAAATTAAATGCGGAAAAAATTATTTAAGTTCTTTATTCAAAATAATTTTTTTTTTGCACAAAAGACAACTAACATGTCAATCATTTCATAAAAAGGTGAGATATTTACAATATTAAGTTGAAGACACTGTAAATGATATCACAATTTATTTATGTAGGATAGCTGTATTTTTTTTTTCTCTCAACAAATGAAAGTTTGACACAATAAGAATGATTATGAACATACAAAATTAAATGATATAATCCTCAAAAACTAAAAGCATAAAAATGTCTTTTTTTTAAAAAAAAAAGTTTTATTTTACAAATATAATAAATAATAGAAATAACAACCTTAAAACTTTATGAGGTTGCTTTGCATTCATTGTTCATTAAATATCATACAATTTACAACAAAACACAAGAAAGCAATCAAAGATAAAGATGTCATGAGAAATCAATACAGAAATAATAATAATTAATAAGTGCATTTTCAAAACTGTGCATAGTTCAAAGCTCTTAATAGTAATTTATTCTTGAAAAAAATTACAACATGTTGAGAAACTTAAAACAAAATGCTTTTTTTCCCCAGAAATATTCAGACAAATTTTTAATAAAATGCAAAGCTTTATGTTAATCTATTTGGTACTAGATTCCTTTAAAAGACGAGTTTTATTTAAAAAGGATATTATTAATATATATTAACAATATAAATATATAAAATTGGATTTAAATTCAAAGCACAGTGCTTTTCTAAATCTAAAATAGTAGGTAGCAGAAACGAAGATTCAGTTAGTACATTAAAACAAATATGTATTAATGTTTTTTTTACAAAGGTGTTTCTTTCATTACTTAAAAGGTTAAATTTGGGGGAAAAAATTCTATTTTTAAATCAATTATAAATAAACAAATTGTAGAGAACAAAAAATTAATATAAAAAAATAAGAAGATTTGATTTTATGGAAGAAATTAACACAACTAATTTTGGGTATTATATAGAATTTCAAACGCTAATGGTGCATAATTTGTATGCTTAAGAATAGTCAATTCTGAAATTTAACTACTTATATTGATATAATTTTGAATTACTTTTTTGTAATTAAAAATCATAAAACAGATTATGAATTAATATTTCTTATTGCAATAATTTTTACAATCCTAAATGTATTTTGTGTCAATAGTTTATAATATCTGATATTTCTTGTAATACAAAATAACTATAATAATAAAGAGTTTCTAACTATATATAACATAGTTTACTAGAAAATGCACAGTAATCTCACCTTGCATTTTAAAGGAAGGAATGTTTCTTTTCAACATTCATAATTTTACATTAGTTGCTTCTTCATATGTTTCTTTTTAAGTGTTTATAACAACTGATTTCATACAAAATAATGCGCATCATTCAAACACAAACAAATAAATCATCTTAAATTTTGTTAGTTTATTCAATGCTAATCAAGAAACTTTAGGCATACAAAATTCGACATTTTTCAGATCTAGCCATTTTAAAGTCTTGTGTTTAAGGTGTTGAACAGAAATTTCATACGTATATTGGAGCAATTATCCCATTTATTCAAAAACAGCTTTTGATAATTAGTTTTTTATAACACTTATGTTATAATTTTAAATCATGTATGATTTTAATGTAATGTATACTTTTTTTTAATAATGTTATAATTACAATTTTATTTTGTGTTGGTTATAATTTAGCAAATGTTTTTAAAATATTGAATGCACGTAAGTATTTGTATCTCTGTAAAAATGCATATATTAATTTTTATCTTGTGTAATTATTTGTACAGGTTTTTGCTGTGCACATTTAGGATTGCTTTGGTCTCTCTAGGAAGGACATCTAGATTGTCCGACCCCACTTTTTGTGTTGGACTTTTTGAGAAACAATGGATCTTGTCAGACAATGGATCTTGTCAGACAATGGAGGATAAAAAAAACAGCAACATTTGCAAAATGAAACTCGATCTACGTCAACAATGAGATTTTGAACAGAAATTAAAAATAAAACTATGAGAAGAAGCTTTAATTTTTTAGATTTTGAATACAATTGTCCAAAGGTTAATTTATATCTGTTATTAATGTTATTATCTTAAATTGTTATTAGTCGAAATCTATCGATTTTCGAATTCCATGCCCGAAAAATATTTGATCAGTGAATAAACTACAACTAAACAAAGCCTCTAATGAGAGCCAATATATGCATCTTTCAAACTTAAATTTAAGTAAAAAATTTTACTGCTTACTGCATGGCAAGTATTTTCATAAATTATTTTAGATAAAAATAACGATTTGAGTATGAAACAATCATAAAAAATATCAATTAAGTACAAAACAGCGCAGCAAAAGAAATCTACAACAATATTTTAATATTTACAAAATTAGAAAGTCTAACAAAATTTTATTGCAATAAATTCATTTAAAAATAAATAAATGACTAGGTTTAAATATCAAATAAGCATAATCACATTTGATAATATTACTTCAAAAAATAATTTTTTACATCTTCTACCACAACAGACTGCACATTTCAAAGAAAATAAGAAAGAAAAATTTAATGTACATTTGTGACTTGTAGTTGGATACAAAAAAAATTTCAATTAAATTCATTCATAATTTTTAAACAAAAATTTTACTATTGCTATTCTTGAAATAAAGTATAATTTCTAAGAAACTTTTTTAAAATTATTAGAAAAAGAAGAATTTAAAAGAACAGTGAACATGAAAAAACCCAGTTAGAAATATAGCTATTTCTACAAGAACAAAAGAAAAGTCACTTTTAAAATTTTATTAAAAAATGTTTTAAAACAACGGCATTACCCTCTATCAAAACTCAAAATTTGATAGAAATTTTTCAACAATTGTGACTAGCATCGTGTGTGTTTCAGATTTAAGTTACCTAGACATTTTGATATCTTAAAAAAAAGTTTATTTCAACATTTCAGGAAATTTCAAACATATAACAGTGAAACCTCACATTACGGACACCTCTCATTAGTCACTACATACATATTTTTAATTCTCTGAGAATCTTCTATAAATAAACCATTATGTACTCTCTCCGCAAAGCAGATACACCTGTAGTCGGACGCGAAGTCATTTATGCCCCCAAACGTTGTTTTCTATCTTTACAACCGGATACAAAGTTTTCTAAATTCGAAAAAAAGTGCTTAAAATTCCAAGAAAAAATATGCAACTTTCCACACTTTTTGAAGCCTGCAAATTTTTTTGCCTTATCTATAACTGAACATACTGTTCAGTTATTTCTCTATCAATAACTCTCTCGTCACTTTGCAAAGAAAGGGGAGAAAATGAAACTGCTCATATGAAGTATTTCGAACAGTAGTACTACCTTTTCGTCTGAAGGGCCCGAGTTATATGACCCCGAAAGCTGAAACTAGGCATTAAATGCTCTCAATTTTTCTCCCTTGCCTAAAATTCCTTTCCGTTTCGATTCAATTTGGCCCCTGTATTTAACACAGCCAGCTTAAAATAAAACAAATAAATAAAAAAAGGAGAGAACAGAGCAGAAATCTAGTCATTGAGGTATTCATGTAAATCAAACATTTATTCAAACACTTCACAGATCATCGATTTGCAAATGTAACAACTTCTTAGAGCCTCATGCTTTTTTCTATGATTAGTAAGAGGTCTATTTCAATGAGGCACCACCACATTTCATTTCAAGTGACAGGGAGGTGTAAACCTAATAATTAGAACCAACTGAGGAAGTGAGGTAGGACCAAAAGCGACTATTTTATATAGTGTAAATAAATTGAATATCGGTGTAAATAGGAAAAACATAATCATTTCTTTATAGCTACATCTAAAATTATGCATATATATTTAGAAAACTTTGTCATGTATTCTTTTTGTATTGAAGAAAATATTTTTTTTAAATTTAAATAAATATCAATGTAAATAGTTATAATAAATTTAATAATTATTAATACATCATTGAAATTATTTGACCAAACTTTGTTATAAGTATTGTATAAGTATACTTTGTTATAAGTATACTTTGTTATAAGTATAACTTTGTTATAAGTATACTTTGTTATAACTTCCCGTAAATGGACAACTCTCATAAGCCAAAACTTTTTTTTTTTGATCCCAAGAATGTCTGTATAACTGAGATTTCACTGCAATAGTATTATAAGCCAAAGCTTTTGCACTGTATCCCTCTTATTGCAAATGTAATTAACAAAATTAAAATAAAATGGCTTGTATTTTTTTTTACATAAGTAATAAAATAATAAATCACATCCATTATATATTTTATGAATTAAAGAAAAATATTAACTTAAAAATAAAAGTGACCAATATCCACATTGATGTAAGAAATGATGCTTTTTGAAAAATTCTATAGTAATTGTAAGCATATGGGAAAAAAAAGGTAAAAAAACTTCTAACTTGTACATAAAACTTCAGTTTCAACAATAATAGATTTCAAATTTTATAACATAGTATTTAAAGTTATTTGTACAATTCTAAATGTTTGTGGATAACCAAAGTACATGCTTAATAAGGTGTTTCACTATTTCAAGTTGAAAAAAAAAGTTGCATTTTGAGGTCACATATTTAGGAAATTTTCTTTAGTCTCATTAAAAAATATTTAGGTTTCCCAGAATGGACTTCATTTTAATCAAATCAAAAAGTTTATTTTCTTGAGATAAAAAATATAAATATGAATTTTTTTTAAAAGCATAAATACAGAACAAATTTCAGATTTCAATTTCAAAAATGTAAAGTAACAGCGAAAAAAATTATTATCAAATATAAAATATTTGTCTCTAATGGAAAATCTTAATTTTCCTTACCAAAAATGCATATTTTCACCTTATCAATACGTAAGGTGACGTAAATTTCAGGTTAAATTGAGCTGTTCATATAAAGGAAGGTAGACTAAAATGTTATATTTCAATGTGTAATAATAATATTGACAATTCTGAATGATGGTTCTCTGGTTGGGTCTAAACTTTGTTTTATATTTATGATTTAAAAGAAATTAAAAAAAAAAAAATGTGACCATCCCTAATAAAATTAAAACATTTAGCATACTCTGGATCACATAAATATTTTTTACTTTGACATAAAAATTTTTTTTAACAGATATGTAACCACAGTGACAACTTTTTATGGATTTGAAAAAAAGTTTTCTTTATATGTATGGGTCATTAATCAAAGCATAAGCTAAGCAACATTCAATTAATCATTTTACATCAGGTATGTCAAACTTGATACACCTTAAAAAGGCCAAAACAAGAATAATAACACAATGAGCAGTTTTTTTAACTAAAAAAATGCATACAAAATATAATAATTATTCTTGTTATGGATGCATGATAGTTAATAACAATTTTTTTTATCAGCATTTCACAGGTCATATTTGACTAGTAGACAGGCCACATTCAGCCCATAAGTGTTTGACATACCCGCTTTTCATCAAAATAATTCATACTTATGTGAATATTCCTAAATTAGTGCATATATATTAAATATATCTAACATGTAACAATTTTGTACGAACAGAATTAGTTTAATGAGACAATTTGAAACATATAATTGGCAAATGACTATAAAAACAGCAATCAAGAAAATGTAATTAACTAGAAGAAGAATTTATGGAGTATGACTCGATTGAGACTTCACGGCAGTCACTTTGTATAGAGAGTCTTTGCTCTGATTGGAGTCCTTTGTCATGATGAATGGGTATATCAATGGAAGACTCGTTGCTGGAGTCCTTAGACCAAGCGACGGACACTGTGGACACCTCAGAGGCTGCTTCTTCTTTTTTGTGCACACGAATAGTCCTGGACACATCAGAGGGAAACATACTACTTTGAAATGAGCGTAACATGAATCTGAAATAATAAATAGATGTCATGTATAGGGAATATTGTGCAAAATGTTTGCATAAAAATGCTGAATAGTGAAAGTCAAAGCTATAACAATATAAAAATTCATTAAAAACTCTACAATTATAATAATAAAAATTTAGAACTAAAGTAATTATTTTTTTTGTTCATCATCAAGAAAAAAAAAGTAGAGCAAAGAAGGAATAAAAATCACTGAAAACCAATTTGCTTTCGATCTGCATGGCTAATGTATTCAATTTTTGCTATGAGCTGCCTAAACGCTGGTCTTAAATAAACTGATTTTTGATTATAATCACTTCTTTGACCTTCAAAGATATTTGTCAAAGTTTGAACGGAGAAGAACAACACATAAATAAAACTCACTGAAAAACAGATTGTTTTTTTTTTTTTTAAAGAATGAAAAGTAATTGCCTTTTGCTCTGAACAGTTCAAAATAAATTGGTAGTTATCAATACTTTGTTTTGACCTCAAAAATTCTTTGCCAAAGTTTGAAAAGATTTTTTTATATTTTTCATTGTAATATAAATTTGAAACCTTTTAAGTTCATCATTGGGCTAAGACTTCCTGATGAAGATTCCTTCAGGCCTGGACTCCCAGTCTTTTATCCCAATCACTAATCTGATTCCACAGAATCGAGCCATTATTGATCTGACCTTCCTCTTTTTAAAGTGAAGGGCTAGCTTCATTACTAGTAATCATCTACCAGTGAAAGACATTGATACAAAAATTTTCTTTACTGGATCTTTTTCGTCCATTCTGGTAACATGAGCAGCCCAGCTCATTCTCTTAATTTTAATACTTTTAATAATGAAAGAGTACTAAAATTTTAAAGGGCTCTTAAAAAATTCCATATATTTCTGAGTTAAAACATCTTTTGCCAAAAGCCATTTTGTTATGCCACCAACAATGCTTTTCCTTCAAAAACTGACATTTTGTGTTCACTATTTTTAGTTAGAGGCCAGGTTTCTGAACCGAGCAATTATTGATTCGACCTTATTCTTTTTCAAGTGAAGGGCACCGATACAAAAATTTCTTTACTGGATCTTTTTCATTTATTCTGGTCATATGAGCAGCTAGCTCATTATTTCAATTTTAATAATGAAAGAGTAGTAAAATTTTAAAGAGCTCTTTAAAAACTCCTTATATTTCTGAGTTAAAACACGTTCGTCAAAAGCTATTTTTTTTTATGCCACCAACAATGCTTTTGAGAACCTTTCTTTCAAAAACTGTTATTTCGTGTTCTCTATTTTTAGTTAGAACAGGTTTCTGAACCAAGCATTAGGACTAGCCTAATGAGAGATTTATAGATAAAAAAAATTTGGGGAGATAAACTTTTCTGGAGAGAAAATATATTCACAATGAAATATGAAGTCCAAAAATGTTTTGTTGGCCATGAGATACAATTTTGGCATGTTTTTTTCTATTTTTCACCAAGATTTTTTAAATATATAATAAGGAAAGCTATAAAAAAATACTGGATAATAGTTGGACTTTTCATGATATTCATGAACACGCAAAAAAAGGAAAACACACCTTGGTAGAACAGAGAGCAAAGGTGCCAGTATAATGCAGAACCAAAATATACCAGATGAGCATATTGCATGGTATATGACCCAGTAAGGATTCTGCAGTCCTTCCTTACCGGCACTCATGGCGGGAATATAATTGTAGATGAGAGCAAAACCGAAATACAAAAAGAAGCTGATCGTCAGTGACACCAGATGGAGAAGGGTCTGGAATAAAAAATAAAAATATTTTTAACAAAAATGCCATACACTTTACAACTTACATGCAAGAAATACAACCACTAGTTACAAATGGGTAACTTATTAGCTGTGTGCAAAAGTTTAATACAAGTTTATACAGTATATTCTCGATATCTCCAACTTCGATACCTTGAAAACCTTGTTGTGTCAAAAAATTATTTTTTCCCTTGGAATTATATATCCACCTAATGTTAATCTGAATTCCAATGTTGAAGGGTTTCTTCTTAAAACCTTGTTACGTAGAATTTTCTTCGAAATAGAAAATAAATTTTTTCAGAAAAACCGCATTGTAAGTTTATTGTAAACCATTTTTTTTTCAGTTTCATGCATAATAATTTCTGTCCCACTTTTAAAAATAAAATAATAATGGTTGTATTTAGACTTAATCAACTATAATTATATACGTATTTATTAGTAGTTATTCTTCTGTTTCATTACTCTACTTTAAAGAATAATATTTTAGAGTATATTTTTCTACTTTTTAGAACATATTTAGTTCTGAACCTGCTATCTCAAAAACTCGCTATCTGGAAAGTTTTTTACCGTCTCTTTAACTTTGAGATATCAAGAGTATGCTGCACTTTGCAAAATGATAGTTTGAGATTAAAAAAACCATATGGCGGGAGTTTTTAACTTAAAATGCAGTTTCAATGATATATATATTNATATATATATATATATATATATTCTAGTCATTATATTTTCCATAGAGAATTCACAATTGTATGTATGGTAAAAGGCAACGAATTGCAACGAAAGGCAACGAATTTTATTTAAAGATATAGACAATTATTATGGCCAAATGTCATCTTTTGAGGATAGGTAATTAGTAAATATGTATCATAACATGATTTCATTGTTAACATTTATCTTATTTAGGCAAACTATTTCTAGTCATTATAATAAAATAAATTTACATTATGTATTATAAACATAAAAAATTCAACTGTTTTTTTTCTTAAATCTATAGTGGTAAATTACTCTAGATTAAAAATGATTAAATGAATTTTAAACGATGAAAATATCCAACTTAAAAAAAAGGATTATGAGTGACAATTTTTGAAAAAATTAAAACTTCCCAAGGAAAGTTCTTACATTATTCCTATTTATCTATACAACAATAGAATTATATATTAATTATTTATGTATATTCATATTATTATTTCTATATGTATTAATTTATTCGCCATATCTTCAGATTTTGCTCACATATCATTAGACGAAGGTACTAACAGAAAGTTTTTAAATGTTATTGGAGTGGAAGAAAGTTCCAAACGCATTTGACAACTAACAATCAATGAGTAACCAATAGGCAATAAGTTAAAATGTTAAAACTGCAAATATTATGAACAAAAACATTTTAATTCCAGTGTTAGATATTTTTAAATTTTACTAATGATGTTTCTTTTTTCAAAATGCAATTAATTATTGTTATACTTACCCACGATCTAGTTTCTATACCTAAATGCAATAACTGCCCAATAACACAAGCAGTGCAGATGGTGGTTCCAAATTCCCAAATTCCAACATCAGAGTCATAATACGCCTGTATTCAGAAAAAAGCAACGTGTTTAGAAATTGTTTATAATGTGGAAAAAGCAAATTTTTAATAATTTCTTTTAACATTTTTACAGAGAAATAAGATGGATTAACAAAACCCTTAAGACACGAGTCTAAATCTTAAAAACTATTAATTATGATAATCAAAGAAAGTTTAGCTTATTTGATTTAAGCATAAATTTAATTTCATCTGAGAAATCAAAAGGATAATTAATCAAAATCAAAATTTGAATTTTAAAAAAACAATTGTTACAAAACATAACAACTTATCCATATGAAGGAAAGTTTTTTGAAATATTTTTAGTCTTCAAAAACTATTATTTATGATTATTTGATTTAAGTATAAATTTAGAATCATCAGAGGAATCAAAAGAATAATTAGTTAAAATCAAAAATTGAATTTAAAAAAAACGAAGTGTTACAAAACATAACAAATTATCCAAATGAAAGATAGTTTTTCTAAATATTTTTAGTTATCAAAATTGCTCAAACAGATACTTAACTATTGATCAAGCACCAAAAAGTTTCATTCAGAATTTTTAAATTTTGGAGGGCAAAAATTCATTTTTGAATTGATTAATATATTTCTAAAATAAAGAAATTTGAGTTTAGCAAACATAAGACATATTATAACTAGTATTTTAAAAAAATTTAACTAAAATATTTATTAAAATTAAACTGAAATTGGACCTATTTAGAAAATCTCCCATAAATAAAAGAAATAATGAAATGTGGTCACATATTTAAGAATTTTTTTTAATTCATTAAAAAATATTTAGGTTTCCCAGAATGGACTTCATTTCAATCAAGTCAAAAAGTTTATTTTTTGAGATAAAAAATATAAATATGAATTTTTTTTTTAAAAGCACAAATACAAAACAAATTTCAGATCTCAATTTCAAAAATGTAAAGTAACAGCGATTATTCTGTATTTAAAAAAAATAACTAAAATATTTGATTAAAATTAAACTGAAATTGAATCTATTTAGAAAATCTCCCATAAATAAAAGAAATAATGGAATGTGGTCACATATTTAATAATTTTTTTTAAATTCATTAAAAAATATTTAGGTTTCCCAGAATGGACTTCATTTCAATCAAGTCAATTTTTTGAGATAAAAAATATAAATATGAATTTTTTTTTAAAAAGCACAAATACAAAGCAAATTTCAGATCTCAATTTCAAAAATGTAAAGTAACAGCGATTATTCTGTATTTAAAAAAAATAATTAACTAAAATATTTGATTAAAATTAAACTGAAATTGAACGTATTTAGAAAATCCCCCATAAATAACTTTTAGAAATAATGGAATTGTTTCTGAAATATAAAAGATGGAAAGAGTGCTAAAATAAATTTAAATATTAATCTAATGAGTTATTGCTATTATAGACATTTTTCCAAAATATTTTTATATGCAGCAATAAAATAAACGGCTAAATACTATTTTGATGTAAAGTGTTAATGTAAAAATACATAAAATTTAAAGAAATTATGTAAAACAAATGGCAAATGCATTATTTTAGTACCATATAAGGAATGAAGAAAGTTGCAATACTCTGATAAATAGCATCTAACATATTCACCCAAAATGAGTACTTTGTGTGAACCTGTAAACAAAATATTGAGTTAGAAAATATGTATTGTATAACAAAAAGAATAATGACAGGCAATAACTAATGAATTATTAAAAAGCAATGAATTATATGAATTTATAAATGATACAATAAAATGAATTAATAATTCAGGTAATCCAACAATTTAGAGATATTTTTTTTACTTATCAGCTAACTATTTCATAATTTTGTAAATTGTACCTACATCCGCTGTTACAATCAATCTACAAGATTGAGCAGATTTCTTATGAAAAGAAATCTACTCAAAATTATTAGAAATTTAAAAACTCTTGTGGGAAAATTTTTAGTTCCCCATGAAAAACCAAAGTTTTACTGTACCCATAGTACAATGTCTCATGATCAGCAGGGATGAAACTGTGTTAGTTTTTTCGACCTTGTGAAATCTATTTATAAACGATGTAAATATGCATAATTAATTGCAAAAAGGCAATCTTCAAAACCTTGTTGTTTACTTTTGCATCAAGGATTATGCAGGATTTTATATCAGAATCCCTCAATGCACAATCAGAAATCAAATTCCAATAATTTAAGATTAATGACTCAAGTCTAATGTATGTAATTAACCAAGTGGAAAGTGGTGTGTGGCAATTTATTTCTTGAATTGTGAACTTAAACAGTATACAGAAGAATTATTAGACATAGAAATTCTAGAAAATGTAACAGTTCTTCATTTCTTAGAGCTTTATCATTTTTTTTTCATTAACCATTTACTTAAGTTGTTCTTTTAAACTAATTTAGCCTTTTTTCAAGAAAAAAAAGGGAAAAGATTTTGATCTGGAATTTGCTAGCATTTATTAAGAACAAAAAAAAAAGGTTACATCATTAAAAAGTCCCATATTTATCTTGCCAGAAGATTTTGGAAGCTTTAAAAAATATTAAGATAGATAGAAATTATTATTTTTAACATTTTATGTTGATATGTTTAACATTTTATGTTATGCATGTTATTTTTGCTTTAGAACTTCAACAATTAGTATGAAGTTTTATTATTTTCAAAAACGTATAAGTATTATAAAAAAAATGAAAATAAATATAAGAAATATTTGGTTTTAAGTATTCCAAAATGTTAATGAGCATTAACCTTTTAACAGTAACATATTTAGACAAGTCTGAGTGACCCCCCCCCCCTATCATTGTAACATACAAGGAAACCTGCTCACTATCCAGTGAAGGAGCCAGGGCAAAAACTGAAAAATTGAATGCACAGAAGAGAGTTAAAAACTAAATTGGATGAAAAGAAAAGACAAGCAAAAGAATGCATACTTCTCCTTTTCGTCCTTGACGATAGAGAACAGGATACTTGAGCAGCAGATGGTCTGGGCAGTCTTTGTCTAGGATACCCAGTGCGAGAGGGGGCAGTGAGGTGAACATGACATTGTACAGCATGAGATATATTTGGTCGATCATGACGTTGGCACTAAACCCACAGTACCATTGGTACCAACAAATGATAAATATGAATGTCTGCAAAATAGAAAAAACTTTAAAGTTACAAAACAGGGGGAAGCAGCAAAATATGAAATTCACAAACAAGCATATAATTAAAAAACTTAGTGAAAGAATTTGTTAAATGGCATTTTAATGCATTAAAGAAATTTAACTTAGATATTAATACAAACAAAAGAAAACTTTGTGTTACACGCTAATAAATCTAAACAATGCAAACAGAGCACAATTAACGCCACATAAATATAAATATTACATTTTCGGTTCAATAAGGAAAAACTCTCATCAGTGTCGAAACACAGAATGAGAGAGTGAAACATAGCAGGGAAGAAGCTTTCATGATTCCTTTTTTAAAAATAGGCCTTTTTTAAGATCAAACAAGTTTATTCTATTTTGAATATTATTCATTAAGCATAAATGCGCAAGAACATAAATTGTTCCAAGTGAAACAAGCAAAGTTAGGGCCCCTAATATAATACAAATATTTGACGTTCATTAAATTATGAAGAATTGAAAATTAACTGTTAAGAAGTAAAACATAGTACAGTACGGAACCCGTTATCCGGAATTCAGAAAACCGGAAAACAAAAAAACCGGAACGAAATTCGATAAATCTTCCCGCCATTTAAAAAAAAAATAATCTTTTTTCCTCATAAAATTTTAGGATTTTTCTTTCTTTTTTGAAAGCTGTTACAATCATTTTGGAAATAATCATTAGTGTCAACGTTTTTTCTTCTTTTTAAGATTATTACCAAATATTTTTTTTTAGTCAGGTTTAACAATAAAAAAAACGTCTTTTTGTAGCAATTCAGAAAACCGGAAAAATCAGTTATCCGGAATAGCGATGGTCCCGATCTTTCCGGATAATCGGTTCCCTACTGTAGTTAATACCAATCATATTTAAAATTTGGTTCAACTCTAGAACGTCAAAAGATATCTCTTTTATAGAAGTATAAATCATGGAAATTATATCAAAGTTGCAGATATTTTGGTATAAAAATAAAATAGAATTAAGATTTTATAATTGAAGAAAAATAATGATAAGAACTCACAGAATTTTTGTAAAAAAAGTACAAAATGGTCCTCGCTAAACGATCATAGCACCAGTGACCATGGACTAGTAAGAGGCGTTCCAAATGCTTGAAACGTACAATTGTGAAGTCACTTGCCATAACAGCTTGCATGCCTTCTTTACCACTCACTCCAACACCAACATCTGCCGTTTGAATCATGCTCACATCATTGGCACCATCACCTTAAAACATCATAACAAATTCTACTTAATTCTAAACACAAATGAAAAAATATATGTGGTGAACAACACACAGTAGTTGGTTTCTTACACACTAAGAAATTACATTATAACTAATGAGCAGGCGTAAATGAACCGAAAATGTTTTAACACATTTATAGTCAATAATTATTACAATAGCTACAGTTAAATTAACTATAGAAGCTTATTTACATTTAGATTAAAAATTTATCAGCAGTTCTCAAAATAACATTTATATACGTATCAGTAAAGTTTTTTTTTCTTTTCATTTTCTGGAATTTCAGAGTAAAACCACACATGTTACAAATAAATATCATGCATAATACTTTAATTTAACTTTTGTGAACCAAAATAATAAAACTGAGTTTAGCCAACAAAGGATAAGGTATATTTTGTGTTATATAGACAAAAGCAAAAAACGTGCATACAGCACATATGAAAGTACTTAAATGGACATACTACTATAGTTTCAGTTCTATAAATAAGAACCTTTCTCAGTGTCAAAGCATGAAAAACAATCATAGGTTCAACGCTTTGACACTGAGGAAGGTACTTGTTTATAGAACTGAAACTATAGTATGTCCATTTAAGTACTTTCATTTGAGCTTGATTTATGCTTTTTTTTTTTTTGCTTTAATCTAAATGAGTTTAGGTTCTAGAAATAAAGAAAGAATTGTGATGCTATAATATTCCAAAAGCTACTTTTATATTTCTGTCAACATGAACTCTTCCCAAAAAGTACTAATTACAGAAGGAGGAGGTGCTATTTATACAGAACCAAATTGAATCAAGGAACTATGTATCAAAAAATATTACTCAGATTCTGTAAATGTTTTCCAAAAAAAAAGTCAATGTATTCATTTAAATAGAGATAGTAAAGTAAAATACATACCTACGGCAAGAGTCAACACATCTAAAGTTTCTTTGACTAAGCTGACTATGTATGCCTAGAAGATAGAAATAGGAAATTTTGTTTTAGTATTGGTCTTAATTTCTACAGAAAATTTTTCAAATTNAAAAAAAAAAAAAAAAAAAAAAAAAAAAAAAAAAAAAAAAAAAAAAAAAAAAAAACAGCAGCACTAATGGTTTGGTTATTATAATATTTAAGCCTAAACAAATATAACAGTAAATAAAAAAAGAATAATTTTCAATAACTGAACCATACATATTAAACAGAAGTACCAAAGTTTAGGGTGAAGATGATTCGAAAAATATTAGAACAATAATCGGTATTTATGAAGTTTTCTAACAATAATTTCATCTTTCAAGGAATGCAGTTATTATAAAGACCCTCATAAATATGAACATAGAAAAAGCATTTCAAATGAAATACATCAACAAAAAAATTTTAATGCAAAAATACTCAAGAGAACAGTTTATATGTAAAGAGAAAAGAAATTAATAAAAAACTAATTGATTTAAGAAAGCCTTTCATCACAGACAATCAAAGAACCACAGAATCTTTGGCAAAAGATATGTGCACACATTTTGCATGCTTTCAACATTAAAAAAATTAAAACTATTTTTTTCATAAGTATTTTTTGCAAAATGTACATTATTTTCAGTTTTTGCTCATTTTATACATATGTTTACGGTATACTTTCTAGATAAAAAACCATTTAAATACTTAAAATAAGTATGAAAATCATACATTGTTTTTTTATTTACTATGTTGAAAATATAAAAAAATTATGACTATTTTTTATTGACACCGCAACAGAGTAATGTAAAATATTTTCAGAAATTTGGCATGCTGAGTTTGTAAGATTTGTTATCACTACTTTAGTTCCACTATTCATAGAATTTTAGGAGCCACTGTCCAAAGTAATTAAAATATAAGTTACTTTCTATTTCTACAGAGTCCAAGTTTGATACCTTTTGCAGTGGCGTTGCTCGGCAGCATAGCACAGAAGTGCAGTGTTGTGCAAGGCTAAGGAATAGCTTATCAAGTGGCTTATCTAGGACGTACGAGAGTGTACGGCCATCAATGACTAGAGCACGCCGCCTCTTGTCTTGGTGCACAGAGGCAACTGATAATCTTGGAGTGAAGAAAAAATGCCTCAGAGCACTACCAGAGGCACTAGAATTTAAGGATGGGTCGTAAGTGCAACCCTCTTGAGTCACTATGTCTTTCTTGATTTGATCTAAATAGAATTCCAATGTGTCTTCTGCAGCTTCCTGAAAATCAAAATAAATGAATAAATAAACGTGGCATTTGTTTACATACACAACTGTTCTTTTCACTCTATTTTGAGTATACCAAGCCCGTCAAGTAACACATTTTATATTCTTTCACAAAGATTCTTTCAAACAGATTTCAATCCTTTCACTGAATATTTCGTATTTAGTACAAAGACAAGCGTGAAGGCACGTAGAACATAAACAATCTAATTAAGTATCGAAGTCCCCAAGTACACAAAATAAAAATATCATGGTTACAATTAAATGCATAAACAAATAATTAATCTAAGCTTAGTAAAAGACGTAGACAAGAAAGAATTATATTTCTACAAATTTGATGTACGATATGGTGTAGTATTAAATTAACTTCACGCTAATTAAAATTCTAACTTATAAGGAGAAACTTAGCTCAACTCTAACACACCATTTTGCTTATAAATGATCAGCTGGTGCTGCCATCATAGGTTATGTGTGTGGGTATTCGTGATCTTATTGAAGTGCAAGTACCTAATTCTATCTATAGCTTGTATTTGTTGTCTATAGCCAGATATCTCGAGCTTTTTTTAGAAGTTTCCGTATTTTAAATTATACACAATTTACTCATAAAAGCGTTAAGTTTATAAAAAAAGAAATGTTAGGAGAAGAAAATAAATAAAATTTTTTTAAGGAAACCATTTTAGTCTAAAACATTTTTAGAACTCTAAACTATCCATTAAAGAAAAATTTGTTTATGGTTCAGTTTTGAAAGCAAAACAGGATATATTTTCAACAATTTATTTAAATGTCACTTATTATCATTTATCTGCAGATTTTAAGCATGCACTTAAAAACAATTTAGTACTAAAATAAAATAAGAAAAGCAAATACCCAAAAACCATAACAAACCTTAGATCTAGCATTTAGTGTTAAAACCTCCATATCAGAAGAAAAGAGTTTGCAAGAATAAGCAATATTTACAGCTGTTTCCTGAAATTAAAAAATACTAATTTAAATACTCCACACAAAAAAGAATAACTAAGAGAATCAAATAAAATAATATTAAATGTGGTCATTAATAAAAATACCAGTTCTATCATTGCTACAACTAAATATTGCTTTCATCATCATTATAGTAGGCCAGACAGCCCAATGCGGGCCAATGTCTTTCTCTGAAGATTTCTCCATAAATATTGTTTTAGTTAAACATTTACTACTTCTTAAAATACTGGTTTAATGTCGTAGTGTGTCAAAATTTAACGTTCTAAATCAATTCATAACAAACACATATTAAGTACAAAAGTTATAAAACAGATTTTAAAAAAAATTATAAAAAGAAAAATAATTAGATTAAAAATCTTTATGTAATTCAGTCACAGAAATTAACTTTTTAAATATTACTCTAGATTTTAAATGGAATTAGACAGAGGGACAATTCTAGATAAGCAAAGTTTGTACAATATGCAAATATACCGTAGAAGGAACATAAAATTCTTTTGTTGTTTCCAATACTTGTTATTTTTTTATCAACCTTTAGTCATACAAAGGGTTTGAATTTTTCTGGAACTTTTAGACGTTCGTAATTTTACTTATTCACAATAAAATTAGAAGTAAATCTAAAAGCCCTTTAGACATTTGCAACACTTTTCATCTCTACAAGTACACAAGTTGAAATAAAAACGATTATAATTTTTTGTTCAACTTTCAAAAAATAAAAATTATGGTCTTCAACTACTATCGTTAAGTACAGTTAAATTATAAACATAAAAAGTTAATATTTAAAACATTAAAAATAGAAATTTTTAGGTAAAAAAAAAGATTTCTATAATATACATTTCAGCTTAAATTAAGTTTTAGGCATACCTAATTATTAATCAAAATAACCCATGGGTTTGGTTAATAGACATACCTGCTTATCACCGGTTAGTACCCAGACTACAATTCCAGCAGCCCTGAGGGAACTGATGGTTTGAGGTACACCATCCTGCAGCTTGTCCTCAATACCAGTAGCACCCAGTAGTTCAAGATTCCTCTCTATGTTGCATGCAGACTGATACAGTTTCTTATCTTTATCTTCAATACAAAGTTCAGCAGCTAAATGGCAAGGAAGCCACACTTTATACTCTTCAGGAGATATTATCTAGAGCAGACAAGGATCAATCATTAAAATAAAATCAATTTAACAAATTTCAAACATTTAGAACCATTAGGTAGAAAATTAATTTCCATTAAATCTAGCTTTTTGAATAATTTTTAATTGTTTACTTGTTAATTATGAAAAATTACAAACAAACCATCTAAGTACTTCTCATGGTCTAAATGGTTGGAATCTAATTATGTTGAACTTGTTCTATTCTTCTTCTATTAAACTAACCGTCCATCCCAAGAAGGACAGATTGTAATATATGGTTCTCAGCAGATCACCAAAGTCAGTGGTCATCCACCCACACACTGGCTGGCGATCAGTGTGTGAGGAGATGACCACTTTCATGAGGGACTGAAGGTATGCAATATTGGTCCTCCTTAAACTGTTCTACCACGAAGTGCTCAACTTTGCGTGCAAGTAACCCAAGCGGTAGAGTTATTCCCTTTACAGAGGATCAAAATCGTGATGGCATGCTTTTGAGTCATTCTCAGGGATGCTTCCAAGATTGTCAATTACCCATTGGGCAGCTCTAGTACAACGTAAACGAAGTACTATTACTACTACTCAACAACTCAATTATTTTTATAATAATCGAATAATTCAAAAGTGTACAGCGTTACTTAATAAAAAATTCTTAGGCAAACGAATTAAAGCATTTTGAAAGGTTTAAAGTTAACTATCTGCCTAAAAGTTATGGACAGCAGGAAGATAAACAAAGAGATAAGAAAATTAAACAAAATAAAATACTGCTTCATAAAATATATATAAAGCTTCAAGTTAAAACAATACAAGAGCAGGTGCTATAAAGCACCTGCTCTGTAATAAAATACAATATGGATATTATAGAAGTATCCTATTTATAAAATACTTACTTTCTTAGCCATGCATAAAACCCGAAGGCCTTTTCTTGAATAATTGTTTAAATGTTGCTCTGTTTTAAATATCATGTTCCTAATAGCTGTAATAAAAATATTTCATTTAAAAAATTTGTTTAATTCAAATTTTTAATGATATTTGATCAATTATAAAAATAAAACACTGTGATGTGACTATTTACTAATCAACATTTTCATTATACAATTTATTTCAATTGAAACGAAAGGGGGGAAAATGAAACTAAGTTCCGTCCCTATATTGAAATGGATTGTTCATTTTGTAAAATCCAAATGGGAATTAAAATAACATTGCATCAATGAAATAGCAAACAGAACTCACTACATAAGCCATTATAACGAACAGATTGCTGCAATGGGGGTAAGAGGATTGTATAAAAGAATGAAAAAAACTGTACTTTCCTAGAATTGACTGAAAAATTTTACATAGACAAAGAAAATTAAAATTTTTTATGCAGACTAATGCCCAGAGTTGAGTTAGATCATTTTTACTACTGACTTCATAAGATCAAATATAAAGACTATAAAAATACTTAGAAGGAAAATAAGGACTGCAAGTTACAGGTGGTAATAACATACTTTTACTTTGACTAGGTGCTAGGTGTGACAAAATGGCAGAGTCAGCTCCCTTGCAGAGAAGAATTTTTTCACCAGTGATCGGATGCTGTATAATGACTGACATCCTCTTACGAGTCGCATCAAATGGAAGAACATGCAACAATTTGAACTCAATAAGGCCTTCACCTAGATGACATAAAAGTTATCAACATATTTATCGAAAGTGTAATTTATAAAGTCATTCAGTTTTAAGCCTATGAGGTTTTTAGTTTCAAAACTATTTCAACATATTTTCAGAAATTTTATGGGAGATGCAAATAACATCCATCGAAGCATTCAAATTTGGTGTTATATGCTTTTGAATAAAACAAGGTCTATGGTATATTTCATTCTAAAACATTTGTAAATAAAATTAAGTATGAACACCAAAATCTTAGCGTCAACACAGGTAGAGTTTGGTAGAATTGACCCAATTATTTAAAAAGATGATCATGCTCTTCTTTCAAGAGTCTGTCATAATGTAAAATCGAGTTTTGCTATGAATAATATGAGTAAAAATTGAGAATTGCTTACCAATTTCAGTAATCTTTGTTAAGGAAACAAACTTTTTAAAGAACCAATATTTCAAAAAGTTTCAGAATTTTTTGAATATAATAATTCAGAATTTTTTGAATATAAGAGTCCAGGCAATTATTTTGAGCAAGATAGTAAGTGTAGTTTAAAAATAAAGCTTTGCTTCTTTGCTTTTAGTTTAAATATCTCAAACTACACCCCTTTTATTTTCCTTTGAGAAAGAACTGTTCCCAACACTCATAATATAAACATATGCATAATTAGTATAGTATTATTAGGAAGTCTGAAACCCTACATTTTCTTGACAAAGAAAATGATAAATAAAACTGATTATGCTTTTTTTTAAAAAAAAAAATTGTTATAGTAATTTAATTTGACACAAATTGTTTGATTTTAATGACAATAAACTATTAGAAAATAATGGTACAGATAGATCAATAATTAAAATAAAGTTAACAAAAAGAAAGGATCTCTTAAAGTACCTGGCAAGGCAACTGTTACTGACTCAGGTGTCCGTCGTAAAAGCCGACAGTTATAGCTGAAAGCCGTTTCTACCAGTGCTATTTCATCAGGACTTTCAGCTTCATATATTGGTCTGAATTCTAAAGGGGAAGGTGTGGGTGTTGTGCAGTGCCCTAAACCTAGGTGTAAAGGAAGAGTAAGATTGCGAGGTCTCTTGATAGGTGTTGAAGTAGTAGAGCTGGCTGGCGTACTTGCTTCACTCAAGAGATGGGCGTATTTATCATTAGAATTCTCCCATCCATCTGCAGAACCCCTCAACATTCTATTTGCAATGGGAGTGGCGTGATTTAGAAACAAACCACTGGAATTCATCTAAGGAAGGAGGTTAAAACTTGAATTAATGAGAGTTGTAAATACAATCCATTTTTAGTCAATTTTTAAACAAAAAAAGTTTTTGAAAAAGTAATCCCAAACAAGGAGGTAACAATTTTATACCCTTCTCAAGCAAATCTGAGTACAGTAGTTTCAACCAATTAAACAAGTTGAGTAAGTGTGGAAAAAAAGGGATGACGCCTACAGGGAATATTTTAAGTCAAGACTAAAGTCAATGCAGGAAAGGAACTGATCTAACATAGTTACAATTCAAACTTCAATTCCGAGTGTAAGAAAAAAAACTCATGTCAATGATAATAACTATCCAGTAATTAGGCCTATATTGAATTTAATTTGAAAAGAGTTAATTTTGGCCCAATAAGATAGCATGCCAAAATTTAGTTTTTAGAAGTAAATATTTTTTTTTATTGAACTAATACTTGCTTCTTTTTAAATGCCTGCTAATAAACAATGAAAAAATCCCTTTTCTCAGTGTTGAAAGAAACATGGTGCTAAGAAATTAAGAAAAAAACATTTTTTTATAATAATCATATTAAAAAAAGTTTTATGACAGTCATAAGTTAAGCAATTTTTTAATGAAAATATAAAAAGGAAAGTCTTATTGAAACATATGGCTTCTTATTGATATTACTAGAGATATTTTAAAGAAAAAGATACACTCTATGCAAGGTAAATAAAGCTATTATCTTATGCTTTATATATATATAAACTGTACAAATTTTGCAACAGCACAAATGATACTTTTGTTTAAAGCTTATGCAGAGTTTTTTTTACGTTGCTGCTGCAATACTAAATGCTATAATTGTACTGTTGCAAAGCTCAATGATTTTGCACATCAGCATATTACAAATACACTGATGTCCAAAATTTAGGGATAATGCAGTTTTATTAAATTATAAAAAGAAACATGTTTTATGTTCATTAAGAGTACTTAACTAATAATCTAACTTACTTGATCTTTGTGAGGATATTTTGCAACAACAACTGTATTGCAAAGAGCTAAGAGTAGGAAAAAATCCTGTATTCGTTGGGAATGTGTAGACAAATGGGTGATTTCTGTTGTGGATGAGTTGACATGCAGTTGAATTTCCATTTCAGATAATTCTTCTACAAGACTAGGATTCAAAACAAGATCACCCTAAAGGTAAAAGAAACAAATAACATAAGAGGGCTAGTTAAACCACAAGATGACTAAACAATAATTTAAAAACAACTATAAAATCTTTCAAATTTAAATAATTTAAAATTTATCACAACTGATTACACTGTTTGTGTTAGAAGACCAAGAATTCATTTATAACCCATGCAGAAAATAAAAATTTAAATTTTACTAGCTCACTACCAATTATTGTGTATATGGTTCTATGCCTGATACATCAAAGTAGTTTTTAGTACTATTTAAATTTTAGTTCTGTAGGTAAAGCCAAGTATTCCAATTAGAGAGGCTTATATGCAGAAAGAAATGTTTGGTTACATTTATAATCTATTATCATTATATCACTATTATATATAAATCTATTTGGTATATGCATTTAAAATAATTTTTTTTAAAAACTTTGTAGAAATAACTTAGATTTAACAACATGATACAAATTCTTATAAGACACATTGAATCTCAGGATGAAATAGGTCTCAAAAGTTCCTATAGATCCCTTTGCTCAGACTTTCAAAAGTGAGCTCAAGTTCATCTTTTGTTCTAACTACACAAAAATATTACTTTTTATAAAAAAGAACAAAGATCCAAAGAACAATGGGGAAAACTATTTTAACACTATCAAAATATTACATATTTAGAAATAAAACTCACATTATTTAGATAAATAAGCGATCCACTTTTGAAAACTTTCCAACTGTTTGATTAGAATCAAATAAAATTCAATTCTATAATTTACAAATAAAATATATCAAAAGTTTTCTTGCTTATTTGAGAAAAATCAATTAAAATATATGATTTGAAAAGTAATTTATCTTTTTTTCAAGGAGGTAAACAAGGGAGAAATTTTGCATAAATGACAACAACGTTAACAATAATACACATAATTGGCATCTTTATTTTTAATTATTAAATTATCAAAATATTAAAGTTCTGTCAAAGCACAAACACTGTTGTGTGCATTAAATTTTTTTCTATTTGACAATGCAATATTTTTATGATACACCTTCATAGTACATAATTTAAAAGAATCAAATAGAAAGCTAATATAATTTATTCCTCAAGAAAAAAAGGTATGATAAACTAACTTTTTCATCAGAATCACAAGCAGGACTGGCAGCATCTCCTAAGTAAAGAAAAATAAATGTAATACTCCCTAAAAATAAACACATACAAAGAAGTATTTTAGCTCTGGTTTCAGAAAAAAAATCAGAACATAAAATAATGGTAAAGAAAAAATATTCCAGAAAACAGTACTTTTAAATAATGAACAAAAAATTATAATTTATGACAAAATACAGATGACAGTTCATTAAAATGGAATAATCTTCTTGTATTAATCATTATAACTTGAAAATGCTCATAAGGAAAAAGGACGATAAGAAATCAAAATTTTTTAGAAATACTTGAGAAATTCTTTTTTTCACTCTCAATTATTTTTTATAGGACATCTTGAGATATTTATTTCGTTTACTACTTTTATGCAGTGTATTGATAAGAATAATGCAATAACCTATGTATATGTTCACCATGAATGATCAAAGTCATGAGAATGTCGACTTTCACGGGTAAATGTCAATAATTACATTGCCGCTTTAGTGAATGTCTGAAATATTTGTTATATCTGATTTGATATTAATTTATTCATTGATATTATTATATTTATTTGCTATTTTAATATCTGCTGAGGATAGATTAGGAGAAACATCAGTGTTTGGAGAACCGGTTAAATGCAAACTGAGCAGTGGCATTTGACCTTAAAAAACATTGATGTAGGGCATAAAGGGCAAATGTATACTGGGCTGTGGCACTTAACTAGACTTAGTATATATTTCGGACATTTGCCAAAGCGACTATGTGATTGTCAACATTCACCGGTGGAAGTCAACAAGCACCAATTTTGGTCATTCACAGTAACATATATACAGTCAAACCCGCTATAGTGAACCTTCAAGGGACCGAAATTTTGGTTCACTATAACCGGGAGTTCACTATATCCGTTACGCAGGCAATTTCACTAATGGCTCCCAAACTCCTCCCTTTTATTACATTATATTCATATAAATGACTAAAAAATATTATGTAGTAGCAAAAAATGTGTTATTTTTCATCACTCTTCGTCTTGCGTACGAAAAAAATTAGTAATCTTTAGCTGATGAGCAATCCTCAACATCAGATATGGAAACACTTCCAGACTCTCAGATAATTTTTCCTGAATTTCTGTTATTCCGCTTTTTAAACCTGTCTAACCTGCCATTCGAGCACATAAAAGTAGTTTCTATAGATGGTTTTAAAAATCGGTATATGTATTTATTTTGAAGTAGAAATTTCAAAATTATTACAAAGAAAACGAAGGGGGGGGGGAATCAGTCGAAGACAGAAAAAAGTTCATTATATCCAACTTCCTCACTTTTTTGGTTCACTATATGCACTAAAAATAACATTATACGTGTATAGCAAGGCACGGGACCGAGCATTTCGTTCACTATATCCGGGAGTTCACTATAAGCCGTGTTCATTATAGCGGGGTTTGACTGTATTACTATTTGAAATTTATTTGTAGATAATAATCCAGATACTAACGTAAGTTGTAAATTTATTCTAAAAATATCCTATCCACTTACCAAAATTTTTATAATGAAATACATAATGAAAAATAGAACAATAGTATAACTTCCCAAAGATGATTTTAAAACAAGATAATTTTTAAAAATATATAAAATTAAAGCTCCCAAGTATTAAAGAAAGACAAATGGATTTTATTTCTTAGAGCCTAAAGAAGATTGCAATTCCATTTAAATATTTTAACCACTCTCCAATTTCTTTTTTTTTTGTCTTTAAATTTATTTTCATCTTGAACAGAATGTGCATTCATGTGTGCATTCCATTCAATTCTCTGAATGCACATCGTTCGGGGAATCATAACTGAAAAATGTTACTTCATATAGATACTAAACAGAGCATTTTGATAAATTATCCATGTTGATTCTATTTTTTTCCTCTTAGTAATTAATTTCAAAATATAAATAGATAAAAAGGAAATGAACATGTGCAAATACATATATAGCAGAGATAATAAATTGCAGAGCATTTACTGTTCAAATTCACAACTATATTACAAGTTTTAGAGCTATATATTACATTATAGATCTCTATATATACTGAAATTCAGACAAAAATAAATATGATGTCAAAGTTCATGTTACAAGACCTTAAGTGTCAATAATCTATGGTAAAAACAAAAATCAAAAGCTCATTTTAAAGTGAATTTTTTCTAGATAAGAATTTTAATAAGAATACCATCACATTTGGCAGGAAAGGTTCTGTCATGGCTATAATCAACTCCACTAATTGTGCACCTCTTAAACACCATATTATTTTCAGTTAGAGTGCCAGTCTTGTCTGAGAAAACGTATTCTACTTGTCCGAGCTCTTCGGTTATATTCAGAGCCCTGCATTCCAATTTCTTGCCAGAGGCCTTGTCAAAAAAACTGGAGTCTTGATGAATGAAGTACACTTGGCCTAATTTAATAATTTCAATGGTTACGTACAGTGACAAAGGAATCATGACCTGCAAAAATTCATAACAAGGGATAATTTTAATTAGGAAAAAGGTTTAAAATGAAATTTAAAAAAAGAGCAAAACATATTGAACATAAGTTATTTTTATCCAAAAGTTTTCAATTTGCATATCAGAAAAATAGGAATACACAACCAGGGGCCCAGAGGGTCAAATGATGTTCTTATATTATTTTTCTGCAGGACTCTGTCTTCCAAGTAAAAACATTTGAAAAAATTACATAACTATGGTATTCACTGCATATTTGTAATAACACTTTTAGCTTTGGTGATATTTATATGCAAAGTGGATTTAAATCAAATATAAGTAGTTATTTCACATCATAACTTGGTCCCAAATTAGAGTAGAAATGCTTTAAAAATTTAAATGCGTTCCACAATGAGTAGTTTTGTAAATATAGTTAAAAGAAGAATGACCAAATTTATATTTTAAAAAAAAAGAAAGAATTTAGAACATGTTTAAAACTTGAAGTAAGAAAAGAATTATTAAAAATATGTGTATTGTTTAGTGAAAATTTTACTTACTTGTAAAACAATAACAAAAGTCCAAAATATTAAAAAGGCTTCATTATATATTTCGGCATTATTGTTCAAATAAAAGCCAGGAAGAAAGGGCACAATGTTTCTGTCATGGTAGGTGCTAAGCCAAACTCCATTACCTTAAACAGAATTTCAAAAAACGAGATTGATACATTATTTCTGTTAAACAACAATCAATGTTATAGTTCATATTAAAAGGGATATAAAAAATATTGCTTTATAAAGTCAAACTTGTTTACTGCAAGAAATATAATTAGACATGAATACACAGTAAAACTAGTCAGCACTAGTTGAGACTCAAGCTTCTTTCAAACATCAAAAATTTGGACAATTTAAAATTCTAGTTGTTGTTAACGTATGTGTAATTTTTTTTTTTTTTTTTTTTTACATATTTCAGATAAAATCTGTGTCTTCCAACCATGCTATATTATGATCCACAGAATTTTTATTTTTATTTTAATGCTACAAAGCTAAATCATTTTTGTTTCTGATTCTATGTCGATTTTTAAATAGGCATAGAATCAGAAACAAAATGCATGGAATTCTATGCTGATTCTGATTTTTTTGTTAGGCCAAGGAAATTTTCCAATGCTGTTTCAAATTTGTTATATAGATAATAAACAAATTAAATATACAGATACATAGCATACTTTCGATGATATTCTTCATTGTGACTGGTATTTAGATAAATTCTAAATTATTATTTAGAATGATGTAATGTATGTTCTCACTTAAGCATTACACTTTTCATGATCGTCAAATTATTCATTTGAGCAACTCTAGTTCTTGAAAAGATTCGTTTACTTTATTGTTAAATTTCACATAATCCTCATTTTAAATAAAATCTTTGACAATTCTGTTGCATTATTTTTCCACTAAGTTATATATCAAATATTTTTACAAAGATTCCTTTTATTTATAATTTTGAGAAGTAATATAGACTCAGGTTAACATAATTTTAGATTTATGGGGTTCCACTGTACTTCCACTTTAGGTTTAAAAACATTGAGTTAATACTAAATTCTCTATTAAGAAAAAGTTATCAATTTTTTTTTAGAAAAAGCACTTAATATAAGTTAATAAATTTTTATATTTATTTTTTAAGACTCAAATTTAAAAATGAGAAACAGTATTTTTTTTTTTATCAATAGTCAATATTGATAAAAAGTAATAATTAAAAGGAAAGAAGCATACTTAAGTAATGCACACAAAAAATAAATAGCAATTATTTTAAATGTACTTCTCAATACTTTGATTTGAAAAGTTAAAATTCAATACTAAAATAGATGGGTTTTTTTTTAACAAATAAAAAGGTATTTTAACGGAAAAGGAAAAAACAAGCAAATTTTTTACACACCTACAGCACCAAGGAGACACAGTAAGATTAACATTATTATACAAAATATAACATTCCGGTTCATTAATTTTTCCAATTTACTCCTCTTATAACGAGGACCATCATTATTCAACATTGCTTTGGTTTCATGACCTAAAAAAATAAATAATAATTATAGTATTAATAAAAAAAATTATCAAGTAAAGGAAATAAGCAATCACAATGATAAAGATTACTCACAATTGATAAGATTTTTTAAAAAAAGCGTATAAATACGTTAATGTAAATTATATACAAATAAATGTAAATTGTAAACAATTATCTGTAACTTAATGTTTTTACTTTGTGTTTTAGGAAAAGCAAAAATTAAAACCTTATTTTGGGTAACTACTGCAACTACGAATCAAAATGTTAATGAAAGAGCAAATTGATGAATTTGCAAATCAATAAGTCAGCAAATAAAATAATCGATCAATTAGTGAATCCATAAATAAGATAATTTGTGCAATAAATAATGTGGTTTATTATTGTTATTCATGTACTAAGATAATAAATCCAGCTAAAAGTTAGAGTAAATAATAAAATTTTGATTTTGGTCTTTCTTAAGGTCTAAAGAGAGAACAAAATTTTACAAAATAACTAAAGAACAAAAATTTACCAATGCTCCTAAACTCATGGCAAAATTAACCTTTAAGCATTGCCAAATCAAGGGAAGCTGCTTACATATCATATTATTCTAATGGTTTTGACCAAAGACTGCCTTTTATTGCTAAATCTGCATGAATATTACAAAAACTGAACCAACACATACCATGCATAAAGCAATTATTATAACATCACATCATCTCCCATGAGACATTTACGAAAAAAATACCAAAGTTTAAATGTATATTTGTAAAAATAATTATCAATTATATCGTGATAAGGTAACAAACTTCAATTAAATTTTTCATAGTTTTTAAACATATAAAAAAATTTACTATATCCAAACATGTGATTGCTGGAAGAAGAAATTATCTGAATTTTGTTTTCTTAATGTGCAGTTTTTTTTAGTACTTAAATGTTTTTTGCCTCTTTGATAAATAAAACAAATAAATAAAAAAAACTGTGATTTTTATGCATAAAAGTAACATTTATAAAATTTAAAGAGAAAAAAGAAAATTTTGTAATCTGATAAATTTCTTCTCTTATCAACACATGAAAGAATATATATTTGAAAGAAAGACATATACAATTACACATAAAAGAATATGTACAATTTTATAACAACATATTTAATTCAGAAAACATCAGTTTTATTTATTTGTTTTCAAAAAAAATAAATATCTTAAATTTACCAGCATAAACCACAATGCCTTCTATGAAATCTGCATTTTTCAATACACAATCTTTTAATAGCAAGTTTTCTTTACAAATAGGCACTTTGGCACCAGAAGATAAGGTTCTAAAAAAATATGTATATATATCAATAAATGATTGTGCTTACATAAAAAATAGACAAATACATTAAAGTAAAAAAATAATTTTAAAAAAAACACTATTAGCACAAAAACTAATAAATATTTTTTCAACATACATGCAACCATTAAAATGGTATATCCTGTGATTTGGAGGATCACATTCTATTCTTCCATTGAAAGTAGATGGATGAAAGGGCTCTCCCTGCAAAAGTACAATTATGTATTAGTATTTATCTTAAAAAAATAAATAAGGATAGAAGCTATATTCATTAGAACAAAACTAAACTCTTTTAAAACATTTTATAAAACACCGATATTGCAGAAAATTAAATTCATCAGAATTTTTCTTTTGAAGTATTGGCAAGTTTTATCTATAAAAAATGAAAGTTTCCTTGGGAAGTTTAATGCTTAGGGATATTTCCATATCACAAGGGTGATTGTGAGCCCAAGTCAAAATTCCGGAAAATTTCTGGAGTTGAAAAAAAAAGAAGTTTAAATTGAAAAAAATTTAAACAAGGTTTTTTTCCTATTTCTCAATATTTCTTAGTTTACTTAAAATATATTTAAAATTTTACACATACTTATACCATTTACACATACCTACGATGACCTGGAGAAGTAATTAGAATTTACAAATAAGTCTTTCTTTCTTGAGTTTATGATTATAACAACTATTTACTGATAAAAAATGAATATAAGCTTATAAAGTATCTCTCTGGCTCTCCCTTACAAACAAATAAAATAAACTGTGCTTTTAAGCTCCATCTTTGAAAATTTGATTTCCGGAAACTTCTGTGATCAATGATTTTTTGAAATGTGTGGACCTTCGATCTCCGGAAACTTCCAGATCACTGTTAACGAAAATTCCGAAAATCCAGATTTTTTCCGGAGCACAATCAGCCCAGATTAATACAAAATCGTTATTTTAAGTTATGAAAATTAATAGCTCATGAATGACCAAAGTTGATTTGCAAAATCGAATTAAATCGATTGAACTATTTCCTGTTTTACATTATACATGAATATTTATCACACAAAATAATAATGTCTGTGCATTTTGGATTCACACTATTTATCACGGTTTTAAGCCATCGATTAAGCTCAAATCTTATACCACAAAGACTGTTAAAAAACGTAAACAAGTTTGTGACAGGAGCAAATGCAACGTGATAAGGATAAACATATAACATCTTCGTGCGATAATGCAACGTGATAAGGATAAACGCAACGTGATAAGGATAAACATCTTCGGAAGCATTCGGTTTCAATCAAGTGCTATGAATCGGATTTTTTCCGGAGCACAATCAGCCCTGATATCATTTCCTTTTTAGTGGCAACTGCTATTGCTACGAGTACAAGTACATGTACTTGCAATAAATTAAAAAAACAAATATATAACAACTTGCTCAAAGGTACTTGAGCTTGTCTCTGTTATGACTTTTTAAGTTAATTGCTTACAGCAGCCCACCAAAAGTTGGCAATTATTTTGGCAGAGGTATTGATAGATGAATATCCAATAGTAATTTAAGCAAAATCTATAGCAAATTTCTAATTATCCTAACTATAATGATCAAACCTCAAAAAAAATTTGTAGCTTTTATTTTACTTTCATGCAATTCAAATTAAAGAAATTTCCTTATATGCAGCACTTGCTTTAATATTAGAACAGCAACCTCTTTCCGCTTTGTTTAATGCTTATTGTTAAACTTTTTGACAAAAAAACGACACTTTTAACGATCATTTTTGGTTTTATCATGTGAATTTTTATAAACCAGTATAAAGGAAAAAAAACTTAATTCTGTTATTCGGAAAACTCCTCTGTTTCATCATCGCTTCACTAGAACTATTTGAGTTGACACTTAATTTAAAATTAAACGACATTTTTTTCTTTAACATTATTTTATAAACAATAAATAAATAATTGGGAAACCTTCAGGAAAGACCACCTTTGTGTAGCGACCTCCTCTATTTATTATACGCCCTAATAAAAATATACTGCTAAGATTCAAGAAAATAAGCCCAAATAATCATACACAGCTCAAAGATGAATGAACATGGTTAAGATAGGTCAAGTTTCCAAAGCTATTAACTCATAAACAAGTAAAATGGCAACCACAATGTTCAACCATGTTTTCTTAACTCCTCTGAAAGAAATCCCTGATAGAGGTGGAGAATTGAGTTAACATCGTCCAATAAAAAGACAATAGCATTAAAAAAATTCATATTTTAAAAATTAAATTTGTCTTACTTTTCCTGTAGTAGTTCTAAATTTAAATAGTCATAACTTTTACATTTTCAACAACATGTGATTTGAAGAAAGATAGTTTTTTTTGTCAAAAATTTGTACTGAAAAACATTATTCTTTTAATTAATTAAATAACACTAACAAAATTGTTTGCGCCATCTAAAGAAATTTTAATTTGAAAAAGGCAAGTCTGCAATTTTCTTGAATAAAATTTAATGAAATTGAAGTTTGCAATTTTCTAAGCACTAGGCTTTTTTAACTCCTTGCCTGCTATAGGCATATAGATACACTTTGTTAAGCCGATGCGTTAACTGCCCCTGGCGTGCATATACACCTTACCAAATTACAAAATCACAGCTATAAGTTAAACTAATCCACAACTTTGGAGTGCAATAGAATAACCTTGAGACTGTTTTCAAAGGATTTTAGATAAATTCAGTCAGACGTGCCGCTTCTTTTTCTCTAATGCACACTAAAACTACGAGCGCCTCTATATAAATTTTTTCATCTCGAAATTTTCCACGGCAGGATTAAGTAATTAAAATGTTGATTTGATTATTAACATAAAATTATATATAAAAATTTAAAACTAGAAAGAGGTATCAATATTAATGTATGATGGCTTTAAAAAAAACTAATTGAAAAAATTACAAAATTATTTAACATGCATATGAACTTAATTAATCAAAACGCAATAAAAACCACAGGACTTGAAATACAATAATTTATTTAGACGTCCAAGTAGTAGATTACAAGAAATAAGCAACGGTACAAGCTATAATCAGGTGAAACATATTAAACAGAAATATCAATTATTATGATAATTATAATAAAACATGAAAGCAATTTAAACTCAATCAACTATTTGTAATGTTATTTGGAAACATTCAGACCAGGGCAATGTTCATGGAATAATATCACATAGCCGAAGTTTAACAAATATTTTGATACTCAAGTCTACTTAAATTTTAAAACAAATATCTAAATAATGTCTGAAAGTAACAAATAAGATATTGAGTTTCAGGATATTTTAAAGAAAATGTTAACAATCGTTGCATAAGATAAAACACATATAATAATAGCATGTGTAAAGACAAATAGGAAGATCCGTATTATCACATTAATTATTTGTTTATGTTTCAACTGATAACAATAAAGTAACTATTCTTGAAAGAAACTCCTTCCCCGATGACTAAAAACATAAAACGAAGATCTGTTGAGCAGTTCGTCACTAGTCTTGTTTTGATACGATTCGATTGATTTTATTCTTTTGAAATCACCAGCTATGATAGTAACACCCCATAACGTCAGAAATAGACTTAATAATGTTTGAGCAATGATATCACATGGCAGAAGGAAGAAATTTTGATGCATTAGTCGAAGATTAGATCGATATTGAGCAGCAGAAAAACTGGAATGAAGTAGACTAAAGAGTCCGAATGCGACGATAACTTTACCAAAATGGTTCGACATGATTAGATCAGCAATAAAATGACGATAAAAGAAGACAAACAATAAAATTTTATCACAAATAATATTGTAAGTAAGTAACAAAAGATTTCACTTCTTTTTTAAATTTCCAAGGTTGGAAAATTAAGCCGAAATTTTAAATTCCAAATTTTTGTAGTCTTTATCGCGTGTTTCTATAGTAACGTAAATATTGGAGTGGTTTCAGCTCACTTCAATCTCGAAAAATAAACTCAAAAAAGTGAGGCGAGATCACGACGGTTGAGGAAGTAAGGATCGTAGCAGCTGCATTCCCTCTGTGCGAAATGACGCAATGGCGTTTGAGTAAGGATTATTTTTCATTTACGATAAGAGAGCGTTTTTGGATTTGATGTGATTTTTCTAATTTTTTTTTTCAAAGAAAAGAACATACTTGAATTATTCTTTTGCATCTTTTTTATCATTCACGTGTTGGTTTGTCTTGATAATTGGCGATCGAAATGGGCTGCAGGTGGCGTAGAGCAGAACTCTTTTCCTATGGCAACACTTCACATGCTTTCCCCATTAGCGTGTGGAAAGTCATAGAGGAAGGAAGCACGTTAGTTTCTCTCTTGATTTTCATATAGATTAAAATCTTTTAACTTGAAAAACTATATGGAACTGAAAACTACATTAAACATAGTTCTAAAGAAAAGTATCGTGGAAATTTTAAAAAATATTTTTATTAAATAAAAAGGAAAAATATTAAGAAAAGGGAAAATATCGTAGTACATTCCTATACAACTGAAAAGAGGAGGAGAGGGAAGGGAGAAGGGCTAAAGGCATGAAACCGGTCTCTCCCCAGATGGCGTATTCGAGTGTTGCGATCGCGAATACGCGTCTGTTTTGAGCTCTAGAAGCATGGTACATTTTTTAAACCTCATTAATTTTTTAAAAAAATGTCGTTTGTTGTCGTTTAAGCATAGTAATTGTTTTTTATTTATATAATAAATATAAATAAGTTTTAAAAATAAACCAAATATAGTTTCTAAACTAAATTAATTGTTTTGTGTACCATGCACTAATTATTATTAATAAAGCAACTATCTAGATACTGATTAAATTTAATCATCCTTTTTTTCATAAAAACTATTAAAGATTATTGAAGCTTAAATAATTTACATTATAAAGAATTTATAGGAAAAGTATGAATATTATGACTCATAGAATAGATTTAAAAATTATCTCCTCGTCTCATGACCCCCGTTTATCAAAGATATCATGAAGATAAGAAGAAAGTAATATTTATAATTTTAATTGTGTAATTTTATCCCTTTATTATCAATGGAAAAAATCTTCATCAATAAGTATAAAAGTGAGTAACTATGCCTCGTAATTTAAATTATCGTTTGAATATAAAACATTAATAGATAAAATAAATCATTTGTAAAAATAATATTTTATTTATAAGATATATTTTGTAAAGATGTTCATCTTTGCGCAAGGAAGATTTAAAAATATGTGTAAAATACTAAAAATTTGCGCAATTGGGTATACTATAGCCTACGTCACAGATCGTGTTATTCCTACTAAATTTAACTAGTAAACAGCATTTTCTGCTAACCTGATTTCTAGCAACAAGTAAAAGCATCAAACGAAGTGTCTTGTTATAAGTCGCTACTCGCCAAGTTGGAATTGTATTAGTCTAGTTCCTTTGGAAATAATTTATATTGTTGTTTTACCGAAGTTTATGAATTTAGTAAGCATATTTAAAACTCAGTTTATTAATTAAACTAAAAGGTAAATGTTATTCCTAGTAAGTGGAAGTAGTTGTGCTTTTTTCATATTATACCCAATTAAATGTGAAGAAAAACTAAAAACATCATTAAAAAGGTTCGAACTTTCAACAGCTTTCGGGATTAAATGACGAAAGACACAAAGAAAGTATATAACCTTACGGTAACCTTATGTCGGAGCTTTCTTTTTATTGTCACGAAAATGTTTGTACTAAAAACCTTTTTTCAATAAAGCAAAAATATTGCAGTTTCAAACCTTTCATTCTCAAAGGATTAAAAAATTTTTTTAAAGATTTTTTAAAAAGTATTGTCACTTAGGTCTAAAATGACGTTTTAGCTGACGTCACACTAGCGATAGGATCGTAAAGGCGCATTGTTCATTAAAATTTCAAGACAAGGTAGATTTTAGCTGAGCACAAAAGACTTAGCGAAAAGAAACCTTATAATTACCTAGATTAAAAATTTTTTCACTGTTTGAGACTAGCATTATGGATGGGTGATCGTGTAAAGCTGAGGGTGGTGGCGCTAGTGGTAAAATTGCTCTTTCAAGACTTCCGGGTTACTGCTTCCGATATATTTTTACGTCGCAGATTGAAAAAACGCGCCATCATATTATTGCATCACATCTTTTGCAGTATTTCACATGTACTGAGTTCTTTCTTTCAGCCTTCAAATTTCAGCATTATCATATTAATATTATAATCATTAGAATATTTTCTAATTAGGCTAACTTTTAAAGATATTTTTGGCGACATTTTATTCAAATGTAGCCAAATAAGGGATAAAATACAAAACATGGCAAACCTTAAGAATTATTCACAATGAGATATTAACTTTCCAAAATTTTTTTTGGCCTTACGACCTCTGAGAATCAATACATTTCTGAAAGCTCTTATGAATGGTACAATTATGTTTAGATTTGAACCCAAATTACAATAACAAAACTGCATAGAATATTCGGCTTGTTCACACATCGCCTCGTAGTCATAACATAAGCGGAGGGATACACCGGAAATTTTCTAAATTTCTTCCGGTTTAAGGACGCTTGTTATTGTTTACATTAGACCACCCATCCATTGAATGATTTTTTTCACACTTGGAAGCCGTAAGTTTACCTCGATTTAAGGTTTTTATACAGAAAGTTGTTTTCTAAGGTTTTGGATCAGGGTACTGTGGGTAGAATAGAGCAGATTGTCACAGATCTCGTTTCAAGGTTAGAAGGTTTACACATAAACCGTATTACAAACCTTATTAAGTTTACATTAAAAAGTTTTTGTTGAGTGAAAGTAAACCTTATTTTGCTATCTGGGACATATTTTCTAGATTCCGGCTATCAATTATATTTATTTATATTTTCAGAGACGAGAATCAGAGTCCATAAAAAATATTAAAATGTTTAGAAAATTATCATTTTGTTTGCTTATGGATGCGGTTGAAAGCGAGGTTCCATATCGGGCATTCAATAATTCCTTTTGTGGTAGGAAGATTATGAACATTTAAAATCGGACCAATAGATCAAAAGCAATAGTAAACCAGAACACTGTTGCTACAAATTCATACAGTCATTGAAAAAAGAAAATTGGAAATAAATTTTTTTAAAAGCGAAGAATATAATTTCGTAATATTGTTTCCCTAATAAACAAAACGACATGATCATATAAATTAATATGAAAGCTGAAATGCAATTTTTATTAATATGTTTTTATTGTAGCAAATGTGTTTTGTAGTTCAATTTGTTCGAAAAGTTGAGTAAAAGTAATTTAATTCTCTACCACTCTCTAATTTTTTCAAAATCTGTACGTAAATGTGATGTAATAACGATGAGGATATTTAAAAGAATAGAAGGTTGTTCTTACCGAGGACATGATTCCTCTGACCACTTGTCTCTGTTTGAGGTTGGTCTCTCCATCCAGACTGGCCGTTTCAAGATAACATAGTCCCTGGTCATCACTGCACTTCATCAGCAGGATGTCTGCAGGTATTACTTCATTGCACGATAGATGCACCATGTCTCCTACTTTCACTTCTTTCCAATATGTTTTCACATAGCGCTGGTCCTGCCTGCAACAGAAATATGCGGGTTAGGAGACGAAAAACGTATATAAAAAAGGTGGACATGTTACAGTAGTAACTTTATACATACCAACTTTCTCGCTTATTATGTGAGATATTTTCTGCAGGAAATTGCATACTTTGTATTCCCGTATTCAAAATGCTTACTAAATGATTTAAACTACTACTAAATAAATAAAATTATTTAGCGATGTATTTTCTTCAATTTTAACTGATGTTAGGAAAGTGAGATAAGGGTCGCTGAGAGGTCCAGGCCCAGGTGTCCACTTTTTAAAAATAAAGTAAAGTAAAGTGATGTTAGGAATATACTCGCTCCGTTTGTTAATATGTGAATAAAATTTTTTCCATTAAGTATATACGCTCTCCGTTTATAAATATAAATTTTTCGATCATATAAATATGTTATTCGGACTTCTCATATTTGTACATGTATTTTTTTTATTCGGATTCCTTTTATTATGTATTTACTTTTCATTTTACTTATAACTTAAAAACATCTATGCCGCATCTACGTGGTTCATGATCCCTTTTGTACATTGTGTGACCTCCACGAGGTAATGGTCTTGTCTCACCTGTCTAGGTGCCCTGCTCTCCCTCGGAAGTCTATCTGGGAACGCTATTAGATTGCACGCTCTTATTTAAAAATTTATTATTATCTTTTTGATGTTCAATTGTCTTTTAATGTGCCATTGGAAATAAAAAAACTTAAAACTCTCGATCGCATACTTCCGTTGCCTTTGGTAAATATTTTTAGATGAGGATGCAAGTGCCGCAAGGCAGGTACCTCGCTCAATAATTTCACATTGAAGCATTATATTAAGTTTATATCGAATTTTTAATAAGAAACTAAAGTTAAAAAAAAAAATAATGCATTTATGACCAAATTAATAATGTCTGGTCATTAATAAAAATTCATATATCTATATATTATTATTTTTTTTAAGTGTGGTAGTACATATTTATTTCTACTACTTTAGTTTTCAAAAAAGCAAATGATGATTTGCATCATACGAAATAAGTTTCAACAAAGTTGCAAATTTATAAAGTCCTCGAGAACACTTTTCTAAGTGGTAACAGCATTTATATTCTTATAAAAAAAATTTAGTTTTTAAGGGTGAAAAAAAAACGTTTTACCTTCTATTATAAATCAATAATTTAAGCGTATATATAAAAGATCTCATAGTTAAGCAGATGTGCTTTTAACGGTTAGTGAGATAGCCTAATTTCTATAACCTTTTTTTTTTAATAATTTGGTTCTTTGGTTATTATATTATTGCCTCTTTGTAAAATCTTCCTGAATGATGGTACAAATTCATAGACTTATCCTAATTATGAAACACTATGACATCAATTTTTTCTTTTATTTTTTCACTTCAACTATAAAAAAAGATGTTAAAAATTTACATTACGAACGATCATTACAGAACACTCTATACAGTCAAAATCAATTTGTCATTAAAGGCCTGTATAATATATGGGGCAAAGTTCTACAAAACGGACACTTATTTAATAACGTCTTTTTTTTCATGTCTCTGTTATCTTTTCTTAAATAAACAAAGCAAAGATTGTTGTCATTGCTAAATAAACAAACGGAATTTGATATAGTAACCGTTTTTGTTCGGCATATGTCAGTAAAAGAGTTTATCTCTCCTTCCCAATCATGAGGTAAGAAATGAATTTTTCTTTATTGAAGTGATAACAAAGAAATGGTGATAAGAACGGAGTGAGATGAATATGTGAGTGCATATCCTGGTCGAGTTATATAACATATAAATTCCAAGTTCAAGTTCAAGATACAATACTTCGCATCTAATATAATATTTATTTGAATAACAAGATGGCCCTTCCTCCTACTTGCTGTCGCCGGCCAATCCTCCAAAATGGCTGACGCAGTTACTTTCAAATCGTTTGGCTGATCTAGTTTCACTCACTTTTTTCCTCCTAATTCTTGTTTGGCACCGCAGTTTTTGTATTTCAGTTTATTATATAGAATATTTTAATTACAGTAAATAAATAAAGCGAAATTTGATTTAGTAACTGTTTTTGTTCCGTAGATGTTAGTAAAAGGATTTATCTCTTCTTCCCAATCATGAGGTAAGAAACGCATTTTTTTATTGAAGTGATAAGAAAACTAAAGAACAAAGAAAGAGAGATAAGAATGGCAGGAGATAAACATGCGATTACATATCCTGATACAGTGAAACCTCCAGGAGAAACCACCTCTATGTAGCTACCTCCTCTGTTTACGCCCACTTATGGGAGGTAAGGAATTTTTTCCCATCTTCAAGTTGAAGAAAACCTTAAGCGAAAACAATCTAAGCCTCTCCCAGCGACCGGGCAAGCCTCTGCATCAAACATTTTAAAGTTCAAATAAGGAAACACGAAAAAATATCGAAACAAAAAATATTAACAAAGCAAATAAGTAGATTAAAATGTATTCAAAATATTCGTGTGAGGATCTTATTTAGGGAGCTCTTCTTGACGATCTCTGAAAGATATGGGCAACCTCATGTTGCAGTTTGAGTGCACTAAAAACTATGCTATCAATGATTTATTTTTATGGTTCAAAGTTAAATTAGAAACAAAAAGTTATCTTAGAAAAAACTAAGCATCTCAAACAAACAAACCTCTTTACAACAAACAAACCTTTTTATTGATTTTAAATAGCTCTATTGTTCATGCTTGGTAAATTTGTTTTTACACATAAATTATTTCAGTGGGGATAATTTTTTTTTACTCCAAATGGTTATTTATCGATACGGTTTTCATGACACCAACACAAGTGGTAGTTCCGCACCAAGAAAATGACACTAACTAAAATTAAAAACGTTTCTGAAAAATTTTGTACCTTCGATAACGTTTTGAAGTCAATTGAGTTACCCCTAAGAAATACCAACCTCCATTAACGACCATTTTAATGGTCGCTTCCAAGAGGCTATACAACATAACTGTATAACATATAAATTCCAAGTTCAAAGTACAATACTTGACATTCAATATATGTAAATATATAAGTAATATATATGTAAATGGATAGTGGCTCCTTTCCCTTGCTGGTTGTCGTTCGCCAATACCTGAATGTGCAGACGCAGTTACTTTCAAATCGCTTGGCTGAGCTAGCTTCACTCATTTTTTCTCCTAAGTCCTGTTTATCACCTCAGTTTCTGTATTTCAGTTTATTATGTAGTTTATTTTAATTACAGTAAAAGATGCATCCGTTGCTTTTTATTGCTCACGAATCGTTGGAACGAAACAGCTTGGTGAGTTCTTTTCAGATTCGTTATTGACTGAATAGTGGCTTTAAAATATAGGTTGAATCGGACTACTCCATATAGGGCCGATATTGGAAAATAACGGCCCTTTGAGCCCTTATTGAGCCAAAATTCGTGAATATTCGTCCAATAAGGGGCGAAGTTATTTTGATGCTGCGGATCTTTTTATCTCACAGTTTGCTACAGAGAAAAATTATCAAGCGAGCAACAAACAAATCAAAATTACGGAGTGGATTCGTTCTTTAGAAAACTCAACTTAAAAATTTAATTACTCCAAATAGATTAGATACTTAACCCTTTCGCGCCGACTGTCACAAATATGTGACAGCATAAAACCGTATCAATCAGGGTAAAAATATAAAACTGGTAATCAAAGTATTTCTTTAGCAGTTTATTTGTGGGCGGAGTTATAATTATTTGATTTATTTAAATCACCATTACTTTGTTCAAAATAAAACTATTTAGTTATGCTTTGAATTAACATTGATTATATATATGATTAAACTAACAATAATTAAAGTAAAAGCAAAGTAAATCTGTCAAATTAGCAACGACTACATTTAAGTTACCGTTTTTTATTTAATTACAACTTGATTCTGATTTTGTACTAATGCTTTTCTGAATCACCCGTCCCCAAGGGGTTAAACAAAGTAGGACTTATTGCTTCTTATTGGACGTTATATTTAAAAAATCATAATTGCCCCAGGCCCTTCTAAACGTTATTTCTGAACTAAATTACGCTGAGCATTTAATTTCATGACCGTCGTTGAGCAGCTGACCCAATTTTGAGTTTACGACTATCAATGTTCAACTCCGTAGCCTTGTAATTTTGAAGACAAGGAACTCCTGCGTCAAGTATTGAGGGAAATTTGCCTTCGCAGAGGACTTTTTGAGAAAACTAATCCGCATTAGAGTTAAACGGAGAGAAAAACCACAAAAACCTTCCATGGTCAGCAGTGTTTTCTGTGCGAGCCGGATGCGGAATTCGCATCACCCAGCCATCTCTGAGATTCGAACCCGGTTAACCCCACTGAAAGGCCGTGATGGCTCAGGGAATAGAGCGCTCATCTCCCAATGAGGTGAACCAGGTTCGAACTCCGACTATGACTGGTTGACTCGAATACCTCACCCGGCTCGCATCGGCCACAGTGCTGACTTAGAATATCCTCAGTGATAGACGGATCATGGGTTAGAGACCGCTTGCCGTCAGGCTAACCATGGGATATTTTCGTGATTTTTCTCTCCCTTTAACTCATATGCAGGTTAGTTCCATCAAAAATCCTACACGAAGGCAAATTTCTCCCAATACTTGATCCAGGAGCTTTCTTGTCTTCTGGATTGAGTTCAACATTACAAGGATACGATCGGCTGTTTAAGGACGGTTATAAAATTGAATGAGTGTCACTGGGACCGGGATAGCCTGGTTGATAGGGGGTTGGATTCGCGTTCGTGGGAACGGGAGTTCGAAAACAGCCGGCCGAAAAATTTTGGAGTATTAAATGGTAACTGGTGCACGTTAAATCCGTTGGCGTCACAAGGACCTCCAAATCAATACCTCAGAAGGTACTGATACAGAAGTTTCCTTGTCTTCTAGAATAGGTTCAAAATTACAAGGCTACGGATTGGTAGCCGTACCAATTGGTAGCCGTAAACTCTGCTGTTCAAAGACGGTAATTAAATAAAATGAAATATTTGGTGCTGCCATCTGTCCGTGCG